CTCTTTCCTGCTTATGCAGGGGGTCAGACTCAATGATCTATTGAGGTCCCTTCTGACCCTAACACCTATGAATCTATGACACATCCAAATGAGCAGGCATGTGAGGTTTTCCAGTGCCGCAGACTCATCTTAAATAAGGATTTGTTTAAGATGCAAGGATTTGTCTGTGGTTCCACAAACCACGCACACCGCACATACAGGTGTTCACTGCACTGCTAATTTGCAGCACGGTGGGGTTTTTTTGACACAGGGAGATCCCAGTGTGGAGTAGGTTTTTTTAAGGTAAAAAAAAACCCGCTCCAGAAAAAACTTGGGGGAGCACACATGGTGGCTGTAAGCACCACTCAAAGCTGGAGCTTGGCTGGCCAAAGCCACACTCCAGCTGCCAGTCAGCTCTATGCACCCAGATCACTGCTGCTGGAGCCCCAGGAGTCCACCAGGACTCCAGGTAAGGCTGCTGAGGCCAGCCTAGGTGCTGACTGCAGCCTCCCCTGCCCCACCCAGGGCAACTTGCCACACACTAGAGTTGTCCTCAGGGACAACTCACAGCAGCACAAATATAAGCCACTGCTACTTGTCCCCAATGAATGTATGTTCCCCGCTCATGAGGACATACCCATAGAGACTTTATATTTATTAATAACTGTATAAGGAAGTTCTGCCATCAGAGTTTGGAGTTCCTCATTCTTCTAGGTGAAGTGACTGGTAAGAGAAAGTATCTTCCTGAAGAGATATGGTAGGGCATATGTAGCAAGAGATTTGAAAGAGGCATCCCAGTGGTGTAATGAGAGTGGGGCAACCGGGACAGGTGCCTTGGGTGCCGAAACTGAGGGGACGGAAGAGCAGGAAAAATGGCTGCTGCCATAGCTGCACAATCCCATCAATACTTACAACCAGAAGTTGTCACTGCCTCATGTGTGGTAGCTGCTCTAGGTACCTTGCCATGTTGTTATGCCTCTTGAGGTGTCCATAATTTTAATCAAAAGAACATTTAAGCCTGATAAAGGAGCAGGCTAACTAGAAGATAAATCCTGGACATGTCTTTAAAAAATCTTTTAGCTTTGGGTGAGAGATGATCAAAGATCCTTGGGTTGGTGGATGTATAGCTAATATATCAGCCAAATATATTTTTAATGCATTGAAGGATAAACTCTATTGTTAGAGATGCAAGGATTTCTGGGGTGATATTTTTTATTGGAAAAAAATATATATTTGGGATAAATCTTAGATAAGTCTTCAGGCACAAGGTACCTTTCCTCAGGTTTGGGAAAGAAGCAGCTATGGCTTGTGCATAGCTCCATATATAAATAAATGCTATTTAAAAGAAAGAATGAAGGAGACCTGTCCCATATGAGCAGAGGCATTATCAGCAGTAACTAAGGGAAAAGAGAAATGCAGAAGAAAGGATAACCTGATAAGTGGAAGAGCAAGACCATTCAAGAGGAAAGAGTATATCTATCAAGGAAGTGCTTCTTCTACTGTACTCAGCACTGGTGAGACCACAGCTGGAGTACTGTGTCCAGTTCTGGGTGCCACACTTCAACAAGGACGTGGAAAAACTTGAGACAGTCCAGAGAAGAGCTACCCGTATGATCAGAGACTTGCAAGGCAGACCATATGAGGAGAGGCTGAGGGACTTGGGCCTCTCCAGCCTAAAAAAGAGAAGGCTAAAAGGGGACTTAGTAGTAGCTTACCACTACATCAGGGGAAGATATCAAGAGCTCGGTGAACAACTGTTCACCAGGGCACCTTTGAGAAAAACCAGGAGTAATGGCCACAAACTCCTGGAAGACCGCTTCAGGCTCAACTCTACGAAAAAATTCTTCACAGTCAGGGTGTTCAGACTGTGGAATAAACTCCCCTCAGAGGTGGTGCAATCACCTACTGTGGAAATCTTCAGGAGGAGACTGGACGGTCACCTTGCTGGGGTCACCTGACCCCAGTTATCTTTGGTCCCTTCCAGCCCCTAACAATCTATGAATCATCTGGGGAGAGCAGAGATTAACAGAGATCACAGATAGACTTCAGTGAGCCATAAAATCAATGTCTGTTTTAGTCCCTGGTTTTTAGTGTTTGGTAAGGTTATGAATTGTTTAGAATATAATACATTCTCCAAAACCTGTTGGTCCTTCTCTAAAGGAATGTGACACTTTTTGAGGCAAAATAAACATTCTGTTTGCTCAGCATTTACTGGCATGATGGCATTTCAATATGGACAATGTCTAAAGCCCCAGAATTTATAGTAAGATATTCTTAACTAATAACAGGTAATAAAACAACATAAAACGTTCAAATTGGGAAGAAGCTAGTGGACCTTAACACTGTGCTAATTTAACTAATTGCTGATAACCATGACAACTATTGTATTTACAGACTATTTACAAAAAATAAAAGCAAATGTTCAGAGAAGTAAAGTGCTCTGTAACCAGCTATATGTAATAACAGTGAAGTAGAATGTGGCTGGATGCTCCACCCTTTATACTCTTGACTAAACACATGAAAATACAAAAAACATATGCTCTGTTCCAATGAGCACTGCTGACTACAAAGTTCCACCCACAATGGACTATGTATTTGGACTGCCACTCAAGGAAGAGAGCAGATGTTCAAATAAGAGTTAAAAATTAAATTCAAATACATTTACTGATGTCCATTTCTGCTCACATGAGGCATTCTATCCAGTAGCACCTGGATACTTTGTAAAGTTAGGCTCCTAACACCCTTACAAAGATGAGGGTTTATGAATTACCTGCTGGTACACAAAGCCTCTGCAAACAGATGCAAAGGATTCTTTGGGGTGCTCCAGCAGTTTTCTGAAGCATTTATTTCAGACGGCATTGCTTTTCCAATCAGTTGTATGACACTGCCAATGAGGTCCAGGTAACTGGAGAAGCAGCACCCATTGAAAAAAAGCTGCCATAAAGCAATGAATGACTCGCCCTTAATTCTGCAACCCACTGCAAATTACCAGTATATGAATGATCTGGATTTGACTGTCCTTGGTTCCCTAATTCTTGTCCTAAGTCATTTTAATTAATTTTTTGTTTTGGACATAACTGCTCATATTTCAGTAAAAACTTACTACTTTCAGTTGTATGTGAGATCACCCATTCTTAAAATTCTTAATAGAACACAAATGTTTTTATTTCAATATGCAATGCTTTGACCATGGAAACTTTAGCACAACCTTGAAAGTGCTGTGCCAATATCGTAGAATTCCAAACACTTATAACTTCATTATTTTAAACCAGGTCTCTTCAAACAAGTCAAATACATTTATCTTCTTGGAGGACTAAGCTTGTAAAAAGTTTGTTCTTTTTTTTTAAAGAAGAAATTGAATTACATGTTAAATTCTCATACTATTGTCTGAAGTACTTTTCTGCTGCAAGGAAAACTCGTAAACTTCATGTATAGTGAGCACTGAGGATCCTTACTGTTAGTGCAAAAAGTTACCACTTTATTCCAAAGTGCAGATAGCCCTGCAAATGTGCAGTGTACAGAGCATGAATGAAAACAATAGATATCTAAACATCCCCTCACCTGAACTGGATGAATCCTGCTTTTCGTACTTCCAATGCCTTCCACCGTTGTGATGGCAGCCCCATATAGTGAGCATATGGGAATCAAGCAAGCATTGGCAGAATAATGTCTTTGGGATGTAAAGAAGAATAAAGGACATTAATGTATTACCACCCTAATCTGTTAGGTAATGCCATGACAAAGTGTTATACAGTTGGGAAAAAGAACTGTTGCTACGAGCAGGTACTGGGAGGTGGGAGGAAAATATTTGAACTGTGAAGTTGAAATATCATTACCCTCAGTTATTTATTTATTGGACAACCATAAAAATCTTCCTGCATTCACAAAAAGATTTCAAACTATTCATCGCATAAGGCAAATTCCTACTTTTTGAAAGGATGCAATTTTGCTGTCATTGCTGCAAAAAACTGTATTTCCAAAAGGAGGCATCCTTAATTAACTTCGATATATAAACATGACAGCATTTGTATCTGAACAAAAAGAGATGATAGCACCTTGATGGACTATCATACATTTTCTATTTTGCAGATAGAGGCAACAAGACTAAAAGATGATTTGCCAAAGGTTATAGTCAACAGAAGCAGGTCTGTGTCTACTAAAAGATAAAGGATACTGTATCTTCTTGGAAACTGGTTCATATCTTGATAACATCACAGTACAGGCTCCACAACCACCTACTCCACAGCCATACTTAGTTCCTGTGAGACGGACTGCAGAAGCCTAAGTCAAGGAAAAATATCATCAATTTTTCAGGTAGGACTTTCACATGATCTTGCTTGAATGTGTAAGAAGGGAAAGAAGTCTCCTTAAGAGATGCAGTAAATTAAAGATCTAATTATTTAGACTATTTAAATGAATCCTCGTAGTTTCATAGTTAGTAAGGTTGGAAGGGACCTGAGCAGATCATCAAGTCCGACCCTCTGCCACAGGCAGGAAAGAATGCTGGGGTCAAACGACACCGGCTAGGTGATTATCTAGCCTCCTTTTGAAGACCTCCAGGGTAGGAGAGAGCACCACTTCCCTTGGAAGTTGGTTCCAGATCCCAGCCACCCTGACTGTGAAGTAGTGCTTCCTGATGCCTAGCCTGAATCTACTCTCAGTCATTATTCCCGTTATTATCTCTATGGCCATTATTCCTTGTTACTCCCAGTAGTGCTTGGGTGAACAGGGACTCTCCCCATGCCTGCTGGTCCCCTTTGGCAAGTTTATAGATGGCCACCAGATGCCTTCTCTTGTGGAGGTTGAACAGGTTCTGGTCCCGTAGCCTCTCCTTGTAGGGCCTGCCCTGCTGCCGCCTGATCATGAGAGTGGCCCTCCTTTGGACCCTCTCCATGCTGTCCACATCCCTCCTGAAGTGCGAGGGATTATTAAATTTAAATCTTTACTCATGCCTTATCCAATGCTATTGCTATGCAATTTCATAGTGAGAAAACATTTGAATTCAGTAAGTCTTATTATCTCTCAGCACAATTTCCCATTTAAAGCAAAAAGCATCTTGAAAAAGGTGAAATATGGGCCTAGCCCTAACACCAAGTGTTTAGGTTTTAAAATATAAATATAATGCTATATTCATTTTTATATAAAATAAATTTACATAAAAACAGATTAAACACTTAAAAGGATATGTTTTTTTCTCAGATAAAACAACAGCGAAATTTCTGGGTCAGCATTCTTCTCTATTATCTACAGTGGAGAGTAAAATAAGATGGAAAATATCAATATTGATTACTTTATTTCATGTATTTAGTATCTAATGAATTAGGCTGTCACCTGCAAAACCTTAGGCCTCTTTGAACAAATTTTTCTCTAAGGTATCATCCTGCCCTGCCTTCTGCTGGACTTCAGTCTAACACAGCTAATTACCTCTATCTCCTTGCTACATAAGGTCACAAACAGCATATCTGGTGCCATTATATACATTTAGAAATACATACCTTCCCTCAAGAAAAAGAAACAAAGCTTTTTATTATTTATTCCTCAAAGTTTGTATCTGTTTACTTATTTTCATTTAGGGGACCTATTTCCTAAAATATAGCACTGTTTCACAACTCATTCCTTTAGAAGTTTGCTAAAAGAACCTTTTAACATACTCTATGCATCTCTAGTGTAGATGCCAATAAAAGCTCAGCTGAGAATACCCTGCATCTTTTCCCCATTGAGTCTAAAATGGGCGTAATCATTTTCACTATCCCTAAAGCTAACTTCTGCACAGGATTGTTGCACAAAGGTAGAATATAACAAATGTAACCTCTTACGTAGATTCTTTTGCAGAATAATATTGTTTACAAGGTAGAGATCCAGATGGACATGCCTTAAGCTTGTAATCAGCAAAATATTAAACACCCATGATGACAGGGTTAGTCTCAATGAAAGAGCTGACCTCATCCTGGAGCATTTTTGTTCTATTTAACATAAAAAAGTGGTATCAGTAACTTACCTTCCTTCCATTCACAAAGAAAATGAGCTCACTTAATTCTGTGGGTGATGGAAGAGACATTACATAAAAGAAAGTCTCTTTCGTTTTAATAGAATCAAAGGCACAAAAGTTATTATGGAGCTTTGGAAACAATATTCTTACTCTGTCTCCAAATATAAACTGGTAAGAAAAACAATCAGGGACAAATACATAAAGGAGAAGAAAGGGGCTGGGCTAGTTAGAAGCCAGTAAAAAACTCCCCACAAAAAACAAGGCAATGAGAGATTATAATCAATTCATGCAGTCACGCTTTGCATAGTATTCCTAGGAAGTGAAATGGAAAAAAAAAGAAAAAAGTCAAAATTGGTAACTACCTTTCCCTTAGGTACTCTGAATCAGAAAGGTTTTAGTTAGATTCTAACACTGAACCATGATAACTGAATTATATAGCAAGCATATTTTAATAGACAAAATGTAGTATGTATTTTTAAAACACCAATGCACAGATCTGTCCTCAAAATTAAAAAAATTAACTTTTAGGACACTAAACCTTTATAATATAATCACAAAGGATTTCATAGGATGATTTGGATAGGGATGACCCTGCCTCAAGCAGGGGGTTGGTCTAGATGATGTCTCAAGGTTTCTTCTAGCTCTACTTCTCTATGATTCTTTATAATTAAATCTGGAAATTGTTTTCATTTTTAATCCAGGCTTAATGGCTGCTTTCCTCAATTTGTTTTCATTTTTAATCCAGGCTTAATGGCTGGTTTCCTCAACAATTTTATTTAAAAATGTAAAATAATTGTAAATAGGCATTCTTTCAAAAGGCACAGGCATGAATCAAACAGATCACCTATGAAGAGAAGGAATGAGTCAAAACTGTCAAGAAATGTATATGTAGGCTAAAATCAGGGAGAGACTCTTTTAGCTTTTTATTATAAAAACATGAAAAATGAAAGATATGACAGAAAATAAAGCATGGTTTTCTACTCAGATGCCTTGGGGCAGTGGCATAAAAGAAAAGCCAAACCCTCCCCTTTCACCCTAAAAGAAATACAAAACCCACAAAGAAAAAGCCAAAAAACTGAGATGCTATTTGTCTTTAGTTCTCACTTACATTTTTGTCTTATGATGCTCCAGAAATAACTGTATTGATACTAGTTACAACAAAAGTGTTATAAAATGTGAATGTTTTTTAAGAGTATATGATATATTCTTCTTTTAATATGTGCATAGGAAGATAAGTGTGGCATGACCAGATCTAACACACCTGGATGTGCCAGACTGAACCTGCAGACTGACCCACCACACCTACCTCGAGCTGGAACTGGTCCAGGGACTGGTCCCTCACACAGGATCCAGCCCGTGGACCAGGCCCAGACCAATCATCTGGCCTGCGGGACCAGAGGATTTGAGCACCACTGGATTATACAAACACTTGTCTAGGGTGGTTTAGGTGAGGGTGATACTACCTTATGCAAGGGGTTGAACTAAGATAACCTCCTGAGGTCACTTACAGACCTACTTTTATATGATTCTAACTACCTTCAGCCCCCAAATTAGGCTGACCTCCTAGATTTCTCAGTAGATTAAATAGATCCTTTTCTTAAGCTCCATATTTTTATGGACACTCTGGCTTTATTTCTTCAAGAATACATGATCATTGAAGCAAACAGTGACACAGACCTTGCAAACATTCTAAAAACCAATCACTCTTTCCTTTCCTAGTATTGGAAATCTATAGATCTAGATAAAAATAACACCTGTATGAATTTTCCTGCCTCAGTTCCCTCACAAAGTTTGAATGTGCTCTGGACTTAGGTTGGAATCCTCTAAGAAGTTCTAGATCCCTTCTGTTGCACAGGGCTTTGCTTCTAAATACTAAAATGTCTCTTGCTCTATGCAGCTAGATCTTCCCTGGCTGATCCTACAATTAAACAGTCTCTCTTCTTTGAAAACATGGCCTACATTTCCTTTCTTGTATTGAAGCTTTGTATCTCTGTAAGACCTTTTGAGTTCCCTCTAAGTTTCTGAGGCTCTTTTGTGAGTAAAAGCATTAACATCTGATTTTCTTGTTCTGCTTCTGGGAAACCTCTAATTCTCCAAGCCTCCTTCCTTGGTCTGGATTCCCCAGCCTGTGCAATCTCATCATCCTAAAGTGCTACCACCTGAATGGGAGTCAGCAAAGTTTAACAACCAGCCATTGCCCCTGATCTTGGAGATATATTACGCAAATGGCTTTCTCCAGGAGGCATTCAAAGATATAGAAATTTCATACCATCAACATTGATTAGTTGTAAATAATCTTTCAATATGATTACATATACTTTAGGCAAATGAGTGGAGGTTTGAAAGAGGTGGAGCTCTCCTCATTCAAGGTTAAAGCCAAAGGCCACATCCAGATGTGCAGGGATGTGAGCTTGCAGTGGAACAAATAGCAGTGGCCCAAATATGTGCTACTACTTTGTGCCACAACAGATGACCCTCAACGTGCACTTTGGTGAGGGACAAATTGTTCCACTTCAGGCAAACTGCTCTTCCCCCACTCCTCCCAGCTCCTGGCGTGCTGGAGCCAGGGCACAAGTGAAATAGTAGAGATGCTCTGGCTGGTAGCCAGAAAAACTGGCTGTTTTTCTTGGTAGGGTTTTTTTTTGTTTGTTTGGGTTTTTTTTTTACTACTGCAAAATCCCGGTAACAAACTTTGCCCCTGAGATGCAAATTTGCAGCACAGGACACATTTTGACATTCCAGGTGTGCAGTCTGTGGTGCCGCAAAGAGGTTTGCAGTGCCACAAACCACATGTGCCTGCATGTCTTGATGCGGCCAAAGGAGCCAATCCTACAAAGTGCTGTGCATTTCAACTTCTGATGTAGCTCTCTGCAGTTGTGGCTGCTTTATGTCCTGTAGGATGTGTCCATGTTTAGAGGATCAGACCTTAAGTAATCATATTATATTCACAATGAAGGAAAGAATAATTTCTATTAAATTATCAAACCTGCCAATTTTGATAACAGCTAAACATTCTGTATATTCCTTCCAATTTTGCCAAAGTTTTCATTTTTTTTAAATATGAAAAAGTCAACATCTTCCAATATAACAATTTTTTAAACAAAACATTATAATTTTTCAATTCAAATAACTTTTAATTATTCAAAGTTTGAATAGGGTTGTTGGTTGTAGCCGTCTTGTTCTAAAGACATAGCCAGACATGGTTCTTTGGGTAAATGTAGTATCTTTTATGAGACCAACTAAATAGTTGGAAAAACTGTTCTTTGCAAGCTTCTGGGCACAAACACCCTTCTTCAGGCATATAGGCATATTGAGAGCCTGCCTGAAGAAGTGTTTGTGTCTGAAAGCTTGTAAAGAACGATATTTCCAACTATTTAGTTGGTCTAATAAAACGGGGTTTGTCAATTGCGGGTACACGTGGGCAGGTGGGGATGAGAAGTCCCTAGGGGGTATGCATGGGCAGGCAGGGATGGAGCAGTGCTCCATCCCACACTGCCACACAGGCAGACCCCCCCATCTGACCAGATGCAGAGGAAGCTCACATGTGGCAGCTACCACTGCTCCCCATATGGCCATGCACTACCCCTCCCTACCCCGTGTCCGGCTGTTGGGGATACACTGCTTGGGGGGTACACTGATCCAAAAAGGTTGAAAACCCCTGTAATAAAAGATACCACATTTACCTAAGAACCTTGTCTGGTAAAAGTTTGAATATCACTTGCAATAAAAAATACACCCAAACATTGTTTTGGTCTATGATTTAGGAATTAGCTATTATCTTATAAAAATATAACTGTGTTATCTTAATCAGATTCAAATTTATCACAATTTGTGATGCCTGTGTTATTTCCAACTGGAATGGAAGACAAATAAATCCACTTAGTGTACAAATACAACAATGTAATGGTGAGTCTCCCAAGAGAGACTGACTTATTTTTATTCTCATGAAAGTTTACAATTCATTTAAAGTTAAAAATCCTATACATTCCTAAAGCAGATTAAAGATATTGATCAAAAATTCATAACATACATAGTACTAAAAGTCTGCTTGGCTTAGTCAGTAAGGTATTCTGCTTAGGTAAGCAGTATAAGCCCAAAACTATGTTCACAGAAAATTGTGTTTTGGATGGCTATTGTTTCACCTGACTAGACTTAGTCAAAGAAAGAACAGTATGAAAAACTTTTGCACTTCAAAAAAAATGGACACTGTACAAAACATTTTAAAAGTATGTTCTCTTCTTGCTTGCTTTCAGCTTAGTCTTGGTTTACTTTTGAAACTCCTTTTATTTTTTACTCTGAAGACAGGGGAATTCAGAAACTCCGAATCTGTAAACTGATCTCCACGCCTCAGTTTGCTGCAGAACAGAAAGTATTAAACATCAATGGCATTTATATAACAGCTGTCTAAATCAATGGCCTCCAACCTTCACTGGTCCATGGGCAACAATACTAAACAAATAATGTGCTACCGGCAACAGCATACCATACTCTTTCTTTCCACCCCTGGCTAATGGATAAATGTACACTTGGAGCAACTCCAAAAAGGGAATATAGCACTTGTCATGCTTCATGTGAAATGGAAGTTCACCTCTTCATGGTGTCCTGTGCTCCTAACTTAAGAAACATTAACAAAGTGCTGCTGGTTTGCTTCACGCTTTTTATATTTTTCTCCTTCCAAGTCTTATGGGAACAGGAAACAACCCCCTTAAATTAAAAAAATTGCTGCTGTAATTCTTACACTGGGTCAACACCTTTTTGCGTTAGTCTTAGTAACACGCTTAGCTTGTGAATATGCTATCTACTAATATATATGAAGTTCTAATTTTCCCTCAACTTGATGCTTATATTCCCCTTGTCTTAATGGTAGAAAATTATCAGAATGTTAAGTTAGAAAAAATAATGAAAACAATTTAGACCATTTTTCTGAGCTAATACCTCATTTTACTGGGCAGGGATGAACAGGAGATGAAACTGTTCTACTGAGTCCAAACACCTTTACTTTCTTAGTAAAAGTTTTCAGATTAAAAATACTCTTTTTAACATAATTAATTCTCAAAGAGTTTGTAAATTTGAGTCCTCATTAAAGAGGCTATTTGTATTTTTTTCTTAACAATCTTGGGAATGGTGACTCTTGTCCTTGTGAGTTTGGTTAAGTACATTTTTTTAAGCATAGCCAGAAAACTAATTTTCTCCAATTGATATGTGTAATTCTATATATATATATATAAAGGGCTTAGTCTGTCTGTGTGTTTGTCTGTCCATAATGCTTTTGGCCAACCGAGCATGCGCCACCAAGAGGATAGGTGGCAATTGGCTGTGTGGGCCCATGCTACGCAGGCCCAAGTTTGAACCACTGCTGGGGAAGTTTGTGGCAGCGACGAACATGCCCTGGCTGCCCAAGCAGCAGGGCTTCCCCACACCTTCCTGCCTGAGGGTGAAGGGGGGATTGTGGTGGCAGTGCCCCACCATTGCCCATCCCCAACACCCCCCAGAACAGCCAGCAGGGAGGGGGAGGCAGCAGGCAGGGAGGGAGAGGAGGGAGAGGAGTGGGGTGGGGGGGTCACAGTGGAAGCTGTCTTTGTGGTCAGGTGGTGGGGAGGGATGGAGGGAGGGGAGCAGGAAGGAGGCCTGACAACAGCTGGCAGGGAGGGGGAGGCAGTGGGGAGGGAGGGAGGTTGTGCAGGCTCAAGTGGGCACGGGGCAGGGGGAAGTCACAGTGGTGGCTGTTGTCAGGGCCAGGCAGCAAGGAAGGAAGGAAGGAAGGGAGGGAATCAGGGAGGGGAGGGGAGGGGGGTGTCATGGTGGTGGTGCCCTGCTGTGTCCAGCCCTGACAACAGCCAGCAGGGAGGGGGAGGCGGTGGGGAAGAAGGTAGAGGAGCAGAGAAGGGAGTCAGTGGAAGAGCCACTGAGAGGTGGAGGCAGGCAGGGGGAGGCAGCCCCTATGCCAGAGGCTGGAGGAGGCAGTGGCAGAGGGAGTCTTTACATGGCTGGCCCCGAAGGGTGAGCACGGGGCAAGGGGGGGCATATAAACACTCCCTGAAATCCATCATTCTGGATGGGCAATTAGCTAGTGTGTGTACACACACACACACACACACACACACACACACACACACACACATTACATTTAGATGATTTTTTGTATCAGTAGCCAGTTGTTGCAAGGGCACTAGATTCTATTTAATACAAAAAAATCACATAATTTACATATTGATGCTATCAGGGCATAATTAAATTAGAAGAATTGGATTTGGATACAAAACTGTTGCAAATATATATCAAAAAAGCTTATGCCATAATAAGCATTAAAGCAATAAAGGAAACTTTACAACATTGAAAGGAAACATAAGTTAGAGAGAAGAAACCAAAATGTTCTAAAATGTGAAGCATTTTTCAACCACAAAATTCACTACGTGTCAATCATGGAGACTTCAGAATGCTTACAAAAAGGATTTTTCAAGGGACATTCTTAATTTTTTGTGGCTGTACAATAAGATTTCTGTTTATCAAATGAGCAGCTACTTTGTGGGAGTTGCTTATGATAGTTGTTATTACAGCACCTCACTACTAAATGGTGAGAAGAAGATAAAAATAAGTTTATCTTGAGCAAATGGCTGTTCCGGGGATGAAAGCATATAGATGGCAAATGTACCTGTGTAACTTACACTAAGGTAGTTCTACCCCTGTTTTTACCAGGAGTAATTCAATAAAAGAAATACACTATTGTAGAGGTTTACATCATATGCCTGCTTCTTGTTTGCTCTGGTGTAAAGGCAGGTTTCACTAGTATGAGAGTGTTGCCTACCTGCACCCTTTTTTTGGATCTGTCAGTATTATAGACCAGTAGCTGGCAACCTCTCTATGTTGTGGGATAAAATGACCCAGTCCAGATGAGAGGCAGGGAGCCAGGTGGGAACTAGGACCTAGACACTACTACCATTTCTGGAGAAAGTCCCCACCACAGCTGCTTCTCCCTGTAGAGGCACAGAGAAAGTGACCATCTGCAAAGCCCACCCCCGCCTCTCCCCCCTGCCTAGCAAATACTGCTGAAGCCCCAGGTATGTGACCAAATTGAAAGGCTCTAGGTAGGTTGCTGACCCCTGCTACACACCACTCTTTGAACTACACTAAATGAGAGTATTCTTTTAAAGTCAGGACTTTTCTAAAGGCAAGTATCTTACCAAAATTATTTTTCCAATATAAGATCATATTTATACCAATTTGCATCTTATACAAGAAGATATAACATACTTTTAAGACCATCTTGTAGTTTTTTTTACTTTCAGACAAAATATTCCTTCTATTTATGATCTGATATTACATTTTACCACAAAATTAAAGAATTCCATCAAATATACTAAATACAGCAGTTTTAATAACTAACCTTTTATACATCTTTCAAAACACACTATGAAAAGAACATAACATGAAATGTTGAACTACAGTAGAGATTGTGAACTGCATTACAAGTTTCACAGTTTTAGATAATTATCTTCCTTTGAGACTCTGGATCCTGTCACATGGACAGGAAGCATAATATATGAAAAAATGCAAGTTTCTCTTAACTGAAAAAAGCAAAATTGTTGGTAATACCTAGTATCATAAGAATACTAATAATTTCATAACAATCCTTACATTACTGAGGTTTTCTTCATGAGTTTGTGTGATATACAACACCCCCAAGTTTCACAGTTTTAGATAATTATCTTCCTTTGAGACTCTGGATCCTGTCACATGGACAGGAAGCATAATATATGAAAAAATGCAAGTTTCTCTTAACTGAAAAAAGCAAAATTGTTGGTAATACCTAGTATCATAAGAATACTAATAATTTCATAACAATCCTTACATTACTGAGGTTTTCTTCATGAGTTTGTGTGATATCCCCCCCCCCCCCCCCCCAAAAAAAAACACACAACAAACTGGAAATATTGGCATGCATTATAAGCAACAAAATACAGTAATGTCAGTATCTGATATTCAGCTCTTGCCAGGCAAAAACCAAAAGCACATGATATGTGGGGAGCTCCCCAGCCGCTGCTACTCAGTTGCTTACTATGAAAAGAACTTTTATTCCTCATTCTGCCTTTCAAAAATAAGACACATCTCTTAGTTTAAGGGATGTTGTGTGTGAAATAATATGGTAGTTAATTAATTTGGTAGTTATATGGTATGGTAGTTAATTAATTTAGATGATAATGTTGGGAGTTCTTTTTATATATGTGTGTATATATCTGAATGAATGTGTGAAGCATATTAAGAGAAAGCTAAGGAAATAAATGATTTGCAGTAAGTTATGAAAATGGTGAGACCTATGACCATTCTTTTCTCTTATGACAATGAACTCAATATTCTAGGTCAGTGGTTCTCAAACTTTTTAGGTTCAAGGCACCCCTTGTTAGACTAAGGCACTTCTCAGAAAATACCAGATCTTAGTTTTCACTCATTTTTCAGTAATATAAAAATAATACAGCAGGTCTTGAGTTGCAATGAACTCAGAAAGACCACAAAGTCAGAATGATTTTAACATTATGAATTTGTCTTTTAAAATTCTAGGCTTATCTTGTGAATAATGTTTGCACGCCTAACAGGGCTAATATTGTGTGGCACTCTGGGGCACCCTTGAAAGGGTTTTAAGACATTCCAGGGTACTACAGCACTTTGGTTGAGAATCACTGGTCTAGGTCTCAGATCTATGAAATTACTTTTCCCAAGTTCACAAGCTAGTTTTTTGGTTCAATAGTTTTCTTTCTCCGGAGTATTTCACATAGAAGATACAGTCTTGGGAAGAAAAACCCGCAGCATCCTTATAGGCTCGGCAGTGCTATGTTGGCTAGCACTATGGAAGAAAGAGACTTGGGGGTCATCATTGACCACAAGATGAACATGAGCCTGCAGTGCGATGCTGCGGCTAGTAAAGCGACCAAAATGCTGGCTTGCATCCATAGATGTTTCTCAAGCAAATCCCAGGACGTCATTCTCCCCTTGTACTCGGCCTTAGTGAGGCCGCAGCTGGAGTACTGTGCCCAGTTTTGGGCTCCACAATTCAAAAAGGATGTGGAGAAGCTTGAGAGAGTCCAGAGAAGAGCCACGCGCATGATCAGAGGTCAGGGAAGCAGACCCTACGATGACAGGCTGAGAGCCCTGGGGCTCTTTAGCCTGAAAAAGCGCAGGCTCAGGGGTGATCTGATGGCCACCTATAAGTTTATCAGGGGTGACCACCAGTATCTGGGGGAACGTTTGTTCACCAGAGCGCCCCTAGGGATGACGACTAGGTCGAATGGTCATAAACTACTACAAGACCTTTTCAGGCTGGACATAAGGAAGAATTTCTTTACTGTCCAAGCCCCCAAGG